GACGTCGCCCTTGGCGAGGGTCGTCCCGTGGTGCGTCAGCCTCGCCTTGCCGCTCCTGTACCACAGCGCCGTCATCTTGTTGGGGTTCACCGCCGTGAGGAAGACGTCGTAGTCCACGCGCTGCTGCCGCGTCGAGTTGATCACCGTGATCCTGTCGACCGAGAAGCCCGGGACGCCCGGCCGCAGCACGACGAGGGAGATGAGGACGGCGGCGCTCACCAGCGCGGCGGCCGCCAGCAGCGCCCCGAGCGTGCGCAGGACGCACGGAGAGCACGCGGCCGACCCCTCGCTGCTAGTCCCGCGCTTCTTGTTGCCCCCGCCGCCGCGCTCGTTCCGGTAGCGCTCGGCGAGATAGGCGTTCTCGGGGGCGGGACGCGGTATATCTGGTCCTTCTGCACCTGCACCACACGTACGTGTCGTGCGTGGGCGTCGTTGCCGCCGACGCCGCCGTCGCGGCGACGGGCTCGAGCGGCGAGCCGAACGCGGTGGAGACCGCGGAGGAGGAGGCCGGCTCGGGCGACGCCGGCACCGCGGGCGGAGGGCCCTCTCCGCCATGTGTGGAGGATGGACGGGTGGTGGCGGAGGCGGGGATGGGCGAGGAGGAACTGGCGGAGGGCGGAGGGCGTCGCATCAGGGGTGCCGGGGCCCGCGCGGGCGATTTGGAGGAAAGCAGCGGGAGCGGCCGTGCGCGCGGACACGGTTTTAACGACACGCCTATTATTGGGTGGCCACGACACGGTCAAAGGCCTACGCCACCAACCCCCAGGGCGGTTCATCGGTTTCGCCTGCCGCCGGCGCGGTTGCATGCGACGGCGCTCCCGCCGGACGCGGGGACGGCCTACCTTGGCTGCGGATCCTTTGCGCTCGATTCGAGCATCATGGACTGCAGTCGCCGAGTTTACTTGCCTTGCCTCGCAAAGTTTCACGTATAGCACATGATGATGTACTGACACACTAATGGAATTAGGCAGGAAGGGCGCAACCGAGTCGTTGGGCTCCGGCTTCTTCTAAAGAGCTTTGGCTTCGGCTCCACATATGAAACAGCTTCTCTTATAGTGCTAAAGTTATTTTTAAAAATATTAAAAAAACAACTCGATGATAATTTTATAATAACTAGATATATGGTTTATCACTATGATATAAATGTTTTTCTCTCACAACATCAGCCTACGAAACTATCAAATTTAACAACTCCTTGGTATCACTAGGTAGATGATGACTTTATAGTCTTTTTAGATGTAATAATAGAATAGATATATAGAAGAAAGAGAAGAGATGGAGATTTTATTAGGTTTGTGAGGAGTGAAAAGTCAGCCCCAACTCCTCTATTAAAAAAAGCTCCAAATATGGCGCCGCAAGAAGTCGAAGCCAGAGCCCTACCACACAGGGCCTTCGAAGAATATATAGACTACTTCTGATGGGTTTCAACAAAAAAGCTACTTTTATCTAAGGCTTATATATAGCTATTTTCATAAACAATAGTTTTTATACCACTCAAATTTTCCACTACGTTGGAGATGCTCTTACCGATGTGCTACCTAGTTTCTCTCTCTTTTCCACATAGAATAAGATATAATATCTGCTAATTGTTGCAGACGTCCTAAAGATTTATATTATTTACTAACAAATATGTCCGTGCGTTACAACGGTAAAGAAATAAATGCTTGTAACGTGAGAGTTGTGTTAAAAAGGAAAAAACATTTATTTGTGTAAATATAATTTTACAATTTGTTCACTTAATTTATACGTTACAAGTCTAGGGACAGCGGATCGAACTTGTTCCTGCTTTCAATTTATTTTGGTTTGGTTCGTATCAGTGTCAAAAAGTTCACGATACGAAGGGTACGAGAAATGGGTACGTGGATCGAAAATTTTAAGTTTCTGGTTCGTGAGGGTATATCTCTTCGGGATGATTCATTCGAAGAGTGGAACATGATCCCTAGATAATTTGGACGATATACGTGGAACGTAGCTACAAAACGAGAACTTGATTCCGATATATTTATTTACATAAATATTTATTGATACTATAATTTTAGATTTCACGGATTCCTAAAAAAAGATTGCACGGAGAATACTAACGCTAATCGTTTATAGATTTATAAGAAAATACGAATGCATTGTAGCGTCTGGGTTGCAGGTCCATTTGCATTGACTGTCTCATTATTAGGACATGGCTTATCGGACTCCAGGCCCATTTGTTTGTCAACTGCAGGCCCGTTTCTCTCCTCTCCCATCAACTCTACTCATTCATCCGACGCATAGATCATAGAGTTGTCGTACAGGAGAAACCAGCGCGCCGCCAGCACCTGGCCCCAGCATTGCACTGTTCCACTGCCAACGTCTGGTTCCAGTGCCGCCCGCCACCGCCCCCCTGCCCCAGCACCGCACCGCGCAGCCGGCCCAGCACCACGGCATGCAGTAGACCTAGTGCCGCGCAGCTGCCAAGCTTCAGAGGAACCTGCGCCCAATGCCGCGCCGCGAATCTCTGCAGCGCCACTACGTCGCGATTGCCGTCTGCATTTTGCATCCTCTCGATGATCCGGTGTGCTTCGGAACGTCATCCCAACTCGCGTCCCCATCATCAATATGTCGATGTGCCGAATCGAGAGACTTGTCTTTGGTGGATTCGATTTGGAAAAATCTTTGGCGGCTGAACTTGATCCGTTTTCATCTCAGGCCCTTGGAAAAAAATCCATGAAAAGAAAAAGGACTCGTACATGAACATGGAAAACGTGAACTCAGAATCGAGTCGATGTCTTAGTTGGACGAAAGATTTTGTGCAAGAAATTTTACCTCTTTATTATTAGGGATAGATTAATTATTTTGGCTAGTGATGGAATACATGTAGTCAACTTTTCATACTTTCAGCAAGGTATCGCCGATTGGACGCGTGGAAGAACTTGAGTGATTTGTCTCAAAGATGAACGATGTTTATAATAATCTTTCTGGGTAAACAAGGAAAAGCATATTCAAAGAACACTCATTGTTTAATTTTGATTTAGCGAGGAGTCTAAACAAAACAGTTTATTTATATTGTTTTATATATTTTTTAAGTTGTGGTAGAAGAAACCGCATAGAACTTCTGGACTTTCTAAAAAGATTATGATATATAGACGTCTGGAGCAACTGCAGCAGGTCCTTCAAATAGGCCCTTAAATTCAAAAGATGAGGTTCACATAAAAAACACAGGAGCAAGGACCCTACTCAAACCCCCAACAGCAAGAGATCCTCGAATTCTCATCTCGCGTCTTCATCAATGTCACCCAGTAGGACACACTTTTTGTTTTGACCGTCTTTCCGCGCCTGTTTGGAACCATGCTTTGCCCAAGCGCCGCTCCGTCTTGTTTCTTGATCGTCGTTGTTGCTAGATCAGTCGCTGCCACCACGATCGGTCTAGTCTCGTGGGCTCCTCGGCCCGGCGCTTTTCTCCCGGGAGGAAGTGCGGGCACTGCACCCTCTCTCCATCTCGACGCTCCGGCCACCTGGCACGTAGCCCCTCCCGCTGACCGACGCCCATGCAACTCTAGGGCGCGCGCCACTAGGGGGCCTCCTTGGCGGCTAGCCCTTCCCAACGAACCCCGATGGTAGATCCACCTCTATTGCCTTCTTCCTCCCTCTGCGACTTCGCTAATGATGTGCCTTTGTCTGGCCTCCTCCCTTGTTGGCTCCCCTTCCCTGTAGACCCCTCGCCATCCTCCTTCATTGATAAGGCTCCTCCACCCTAGCGAGTAATAATGAAATGACGAGTGGGTCTCAGATGTCAGGTGTCTCATGTAATGTATTTGAGAACTCCTGCTAGAGTGGATATAAACAAAACCTAGGCCATCAAAAGTAGAGAAGTCCTAAAACCAAAAGTAAAGTTTGTGATTTGAGGTCTGCTGCTAAAGTTACACTCAATATAGCTAGTGTGAGCATATAAAAAAACCAACGAACATATCAAGGCAAGTTAAAATGGACCCAAAACTGAAGCAAGAAATGCGGCTCATGGACAATGAATTTCCAAATTTCTTGCTCTACCAGGCTCAGAGGCCATCCAGAATAAAACACCAATGGCCAATTCATGATGTAATATAAATTGTCGTATATTTTTTCATGATAATTTTAAATTTTATAAAATTATGAAGTTTCCTATTATTGGTTGATTGAATTCAACATGTTGAACATGGCATACTATGAATATGGTCCAACATAGTATTTTTTGCCGATTCACAAAATATGTCGCCAGACGTTTTAGTTCCACTTTTATGCATGATGAAAAAAAAAATAGAACAACATTGAAGTTGTTAACAACCTCCCTCCATATTTCAACACGTTGAGTATTTTCTGCTGATTCACAAAATACCACATGACGTTAGTATACTACTTTTACGCATGATGAGAACAAACAAAGTAATGTACTGTAACAACCTCTGTCCAGATTTGAATACGGCGAACATGACATACTAGCACTTTTTTTTTTACTGATTCACAAAATATCAGGGGACTATTTTTAGACTTCTACCTTTATATAGCGTGATAAAAACAAACACTATATGTTAACAACCTCTTTGGGTCTTTCCAAGATTTATTTATCCCTCCCATTCCCTGAAAAGTCTGCACTGCACAGGACTGCTGCGTGTCAGCGTGTGTACTGCTCCCTCCACCCATGCGAGTGCAAAGCCGCCGAGCCCAGCCCTGAAGCCCAGTCGTTGGCTATAAAACCCCGCACCCCATCAGCCGTCCTCCGGTAGGTTCTCCCCTTTTGCATGCCTCACCGGCCTCTCCACCTCCCTCCCCTTCCGCCTCCCTCCACTACTGCTAACCCCTGCTCCCCAATCCCGATCCGCCCCCACATCTGATCCCCGGATTCGCCGTCCCATCACCCCGCTCCGGGTCTCCGCGATTCCGTCCCCAGTCCCGCCGATCTCCCCGATCTTTCTCAATCCCTCGGGGGGGTTTGATTTCCCATCGTTTCTGGGTTGCGTGTGTGTTCCGGAGTACTGTTTATTGGTATTGAGATGAGGGCCACGAAGGCGGCGGCGGCGGTGGAGAGGACGGAGGACAAAGAGATAGACTTGCTTCTCAGCGAGATCCCCCACGTCACGTCCCCGCAGGGGCGGCAGCGCGGGGTGGGCGTCATCGGCGACGGCAACGGCAACGGCGTGCATGGCGCCTCGGGTTCCGACGGCTACACTTCACCAATGCGCATCGGGTGCCGACGGGTACACTGCCCCACGGATGCCGACGGGTACGATGCGCAGCGCCACGGCAAGGACGCCTACTACGACATGGTCCTGAACCGTCGCGACAATGGTGCTCCACTCCACGGCGGCGATGCAGGGGGCGTTGGCTTCCCCGCGCCGTCACCGGCCTCGGGACCGTTCGTCGGTAGCCCAGTGCCGCCGCCGCTGGCGCTGGGGGTGGGGGTGGACGACCAGGAGCAGCAGCTGGTCGCGAACCAGCTCCGCGGTCTGCGCATCGGCGACGCGCAGACCGCGCTCCAGCGCCAGGGCCCGCCGCCTGTCATTCACACGGCCCCGACTGAGGTCCCCGCAGCGCACGGCGCGTACGATGGGTACAACTTCGCGGCGTCAGGTTCTTCCGTCCGCCATGAACACGTGTTCCTTGATCAGGCCAAACCTGTCGGGTACGTCGCAGCACGGCCGCATCGCTTCGTGTCGGACGTTGGCCTGGATGACTTTGGTGGTTTCCCCAGAGCCTTGGACACCAGCATTGGTGGCTTCATGTACAATAGGGTAGGGCATGGCACTGGCATTGGTTGGGGCCAAGGTTTGGTGCAGCCTGATTTCGCCGAGTCCTACCTGCTTTCCAGTCAGGCTGGTGCAGAGTTTTCCAGCTCGAGTCCGGTTGCCCTCAAACGACACTATGCATATGGTGGTGTCCCTGTGGCAGCCAACGGGTTTTCGAGAGGCAGAAATCAGTTTGATGCATTCGGTTGTGACAACAGTCCCAGTGAGGTTGGTGCAGAGTTTTTCAGCTCGAGTCCGGCTGCCCTTGACTTCCGTGGTGGACCAAAGCGACACTATGCATATGGTGGTGTCTCTGTGGCAGACAACGGGTTTGCGAGAGGCAGAAATCAGTTTGAGGCATTCCATTGTGACAACAGTCTGATGTTTGATGGGAAGAACATGAACTTCCTGGAACGTGAGAGGGAGAGGAGATTCCAGCGTGTCAATAGCAGGGCACTGGAGCTTGGGAGTTCTAGGACTTTGAGGTTTGACAATGTGGTTCGTGTCAAGGAAGGATCCATCTACCACATGGCCAAGGACCAAAATGGGTGCCGGTATTTGCAGGACAAGTTTTGGAAGGAAACATCATGTCGATGCGATCTTTGAAGGAATCATTAACCACATTGCAGACCTTATGATCAGCAGTTTTGGCAACTATCTTGTACAGAAGATGCTGGAAGTGTGTGATGAAGGGCAAAGGCTGAGGATCGTCTTAGTGCTGACGCAGGACCCTGTGAAGCAGCTGATTGCCATCTCTAAACACACATGGGTAATTATCTTTTCTTCTGAAAATTAATCAGAAATTTGCATTATGATTCTTGTCTGACACTACAAGCATTTGTACTTGGCAACCAATTATGGTATTTGTTGATTTTAGAATGCTGTGCTTTGAGTCAGTATAATAAAGTACACTGGCATCAGACCAAGTGTGCTGTGATGCTAACATTGCAATATGATCCCTTTTGTTTAGTGGGGGCATGCAATGATGCTGATGATTCTATTGTATTGATTTGTTCCAGGACCAGGGTAGTACAGAGATTGATAGAGACTGTTAGGAGCAGAGATCAGATTATGCTCATCATTTCAGCCCTACAGCCAAACTTCATGCTGCTTGTCAATGACCCCAATGGTAATCATGTAATACAGAAATGTCTGACAAACTTTGGAGCTGAGGATAACAAGGTACATAATGATTCCTACTAGTTTGTAACTTGTTTCTTCTATTTGTAAATAAATTCTGTCTTCGAGTAATAAGTGGTTGTTGCATTTTTTTTAATCATGTTATTGATTTTGATTCTTTGAATAACTGACTCATAAGTTAGAGAACTGATGCTAACACATGGAATTTACTGGTTGTAGGAGTAGAATTGAGCATTTCTAGTTTCGGCTAGCAACTTATGTTCATATGCATCTGTAATCATAATCAGACATGTTTTTTCTTGCATGAAGTAGTTTCTTTAAAAGTATATATGCTTGCAAACTAACAAACATTAAGCCTTGTCATCTCTACGTAAATTTGCTATTCTTGAACCTTTAGCAGTTTTTTTCAGAGACAGACAATATCCAAGACTTTGTGTATGAACTACTCTAGTTTACTCTGTCACATATTGTACAGAGACGTTGCTTGCATTTGCAAACAGTATGATTTAAATAACTCTTAATGCTGTGCATTAATTAATTTATGAGGTCTGGATCCACCAGAATCCAAAGTTATATTCAGAAATTTAGACATTTAGAAAGTTGGGACCTGGAACTGACATAATACACTAGATTCAACTAAGTTCATTAACCAATAACTAAACTATGGCTATGCTATTTAAGTGGTTAATGACCATTTACCTATGCATATCATGTTTTGATGGTGGTGATGTCTTATGATCAACCTTAAGGGTTTTCCTCACTTGTCCTGAACTTGGATTTGACTATGTAATCTTGTGTTTTTCCCCTTCAATATTGCCTTTGGCATATGTCTTCTGCATGGGAAGGTATATTTTCTGCCTACACATGGTTTTTATACGCACTAATGATAGAGAAATTCTTTGGGGCAGATACAATTGTGTTCCTAATTTTCACCACTTCAAATTATGAAGTGAAAATAAGTAATAACAAGTTCGTTACTGTGTACTCAGATTCTCATATTATTATAATTATCTTTCTCGAGATCAATGTGGTGTCATGAAATTCTTCTGCTAGCAAACATATGCTAAGTATGCGTTGATCTTACTTTACCAGAGTATCTGCAAACATACATATGCTAAGTATGCATTGATCTTACTTTACTAGAGTATCTGCAGACATATTTATATTTACTCTGTTTAAACAGTTCATATTTGAGGGCGCTGCAGCTAACTGTTTTAACATGGCGGTACATCGCCATGGATGCTGTGTTCTACAGCGTTGCATATCTAATGCACGTGGTGTATACCAGGCCAATCTAATTGTGGAAATATGTGCTCGTGGCTTTGAGCTTGCTCAAGATCCATTTGGGTAAACTCTTGGTTGCTTATATTATATTCTGTTGCAAAAAAAAACACCATTGCTTTGTGGTTGTTTTTCCACTACATTAGATATCTGTCTGGTTGATTGTACACAAAGTCTGTGTACCTTCTTATTTCACTGCTTTCTTAGTTTTCAATACTGATGATCATCTCTTATATATCTTATATTTGTACAAGGCTGAACTTTGTTGGAAATAACTTTTCACCAGTGACTTAATTTGAGTGTAGCAAATGTTTGTTCTCCCTTGTTTATATAAACCTTTATATATGTATCTCAGTTCAAATCTATGTATGTTTCATGAGCTTTCTCAGTGATCATGTGTAGTTTTTTTTTCAGAAGATAACATATTATCATAACAGGGTCCATGAAACTTAAAATGTGTGGATAGTGTTATGAACTCTGTGCCAAGTCGCTTACTAGATAAACTAAGTGGTTTCTACCTATATTTTCCAGAAATAAAGGGAGCCCAAACTGTGCTGAAAGTAACTATATTTCTCATGGCCTATGGCAAATGGATTTCCATAACTGTTGTTTGAATAGGCAGGGATTTGCCCAATTCTCTTGGTTTGACAAGGAATTCTATTCATTCTATTAATTGTCACTCCATGGGGGGGTTCATCCTATCTGGGGATGCAAGTCCCACATATTTTGGGTCATTGGGTCAACCCAAAACTTGCAAAAATGAACTAAAATGTCATGCTTCCTAATTAATTTAGGAGGAGAAGGGCTAGTTGTCCCACAAAACACCATTGGGTACACTTGCATCCTTAATCCTAACCCTCTCGATTGAAACAAGTCTTAATTGATTTCATTTATCTACGGTATTTTAGGAATTTATTTTGAACCAGATAGATGGCAAAACTCAGAACTGTATCAACTCATCCCACACTAAGATTGATTTCCCATTTCCCCTTGTCCCAGGAACTATGTGGTCCAATATGTTTTGGAACTGAAAATTCCTTCTGCAAATGCACACTTGGCATCTCAGTTTGAAGGAAAGTATATTTATCTCTCAAAGCAGAAGGTGAGCAGCAATGTGGTGGAGAGATGCCTAAAGTTTTTCCCGGACGATGCCAAAGCTGTCATAGTACATGAATTGCTCTTGCTCAGCGGGTCTCACTTTGAGCAACTGCTGCAAGACCCTTATGCCAACTATGTCATTTACACTGCCCTTCTCCACACCAAGGTTAGTATGCAATATCATCTTAGTACACCATTCGGTATGCGCAACATTGCATTTGTCATGCTCATTATTTTTGTCTCCGTGGCAGGGCCATCTGCACAATGCCCTTGTTGAAGCGATCCGCCCTCATGAGGATGCCATCCGGACAAGCCCCTGTTGTAAGAGGATCTGCAGGGCCCTGTCCAGGAGGTGAAAGTTGTACCATCTGTATACGTTTGGTACCAGGAGGAAGGTCGCTGGCCTGTATTTGATTGTTGTCAATTTATGTTCACTAGTTTGTCACCCATAATGTACTCCTCCACGCCGCCCTACACGAGCCCTGTCAGTTCAGAAAGGCAGTTTTTGTTGCAGGAACAACGGTTTAAGTTATCGTCAGGTACTCAGGTTGTAAAAAGGATACCGCCCGTCGTGTCTTCCGTGGTGTAATTTTTTTTGCCGCACGCCTGTCCTGATGGTGTGCTGTAGTGTAGATTGTAGAGTTGTAAAAGGAACCCGTGTGCTTTCCCCCTTGGGTCTGTTTTGTATCTGCTGTATTGCTTTCCACTTTGGATTCTATGAATTGTTGCTGTTGGACAAGGGTCATTCAAAAAACAAATACTGTTGGACAAGTGTTATACTTGTTTGCTTTTAGCCTTTTGTACATAACTGTGTGTTTTGAGGAACGAGATCAATGTTTCATTGAGAGTTGTAAACATCGTGTGCTGAAATTGTCAGGTTTCCTGGTGATGAGTGACATCCACTTTGATGAATATTTTTTCCCATCAGCGATTAGCTTTGCTGCTGTGAAACGGAATGTTGATGACGGAATGGGGAATGGAATGTCGATGTTGGAATGGAAAAGAAAATTTTCTGCTGTGAAATTGAATGGCTGGAACAGAGCATTTGCCAAAAACAAAACAAAGAGAGTTGTAAACATCGTGTGCTGAAATTGACAGGTTTCCTGCTGGATAGATTTTTTTGGCCAGTGGATACCCAGAAAATAAAGAAAATCAGATTACCAAGTGAACAGGCTGATGATATTTTGGCATGGCACTATGAAAAGAATGGTCTCTACTCTGTAAAAAGTGCATACTGGATGGCTCGGAAGCGCTTAACGGAGGAGCAGGGTGGTGGCCAATCGACTTCTGAAAATGCTGATGGTCGGCCAGTTTGGAAAGAATTCTGGAGGATCCCGCTTCCCCATGAGATCCTAATCTTCGTTTGGAAAATAGCGAACAATGGTTTAGCAACGCAACAGAACAAATTTCGGCGCAATATAGTTCAAAGGGACACCTGCGAAATATGTGGCATGGAGACGGAATCGCTAAATCATGCACTAGTGGGACGCCGTCATGCATGTCAGCTGCGTATGGCAATGAGAGAGCACTGGGCATTGCCGGACGAAAAACAGTTCCTCAATCTGGACCAATTCAATTTTCTGGATTTTCTGTTGAAGACTGAAAGGGATATGAGAGAAAGGTGCCTGATGATCTTATGGTTATGGCGTTCCTGGCAGGTGCGGAACGACATCACACATGAAGCACGCGGTCTTTCCATTGAGGGTTCAGTTCGTTTCCTGAGAAGCTATTGGACAGAACTGTGTAATATCAGGCAAAATAGAGACATGGCTGGTCCGTTTGGCAAGCAACCGTAGCTCCCTGTATGCTGGACGGCAGGCCAAAAGAGGGAGACAACCGTGCCCCTGGCAACGGCCGGAGGCAGGATGGCGAAAGGTAAATGTTGATGGTGCTTTTCGCAGGTCGTCACAATGCGGCAGTGTGTCTGGCTGCTTGGCATGCTGTACCGGGAGCCAGGGACCCTGCAGAAGTCGAGGCGCTGTCGGTCAGGGAAGGACTCCGATATGCTACTGAAAATCCTGAGATCCCGGTGGTGTTGAAACCGACTGCAGCTCGATCTAGGCTATGCTGAAGAATTTGGCAGGATCGAGGCCGCTATGCCTAATAGCGACGGAAGTGAGAGTGGTGGCGAGTCTGATGTCTGAGTGGAAGATAGTCCACACGAGAAGAGAGAAACTGTGCTGCACACGAGCTCGCGCAACTGGCGCTAAGGTCCAACAGTTCGGCATTACTCAGCTTCAAAAAAATAATTTGATTCAGCTTGTAAACGTCCTGAAGTTTACTAACGGAGCTTCCACCTTTTCTTTGCAGTGTTTGTGTATTGGTCATTTATGTATTATATAAGACTTTGTAATACTCTGGCTCGCTCTTCTTCTTATATGATGTCAGAGGCTCAGAGCTCCTACTAATGTTTCAAAAACGAAAGAAAAAAGTGAGCTGCCGTTACCTCCACAGATTTTGTCCCTTGGGTTTCAAAACAGTTATGTACTAGTATATGATAGCTTGATAAACATATCTGTACACAGAAATCGGCCTCTCCCTATGGATATCAGTATATCACTACTGGACGTCTGGACAAAACCCATTCTTCATCTCTCTGAAATTACTAACTCAATGTTGCAGTCTCAAAAAAAATCTGTCGAAGTCTCAACAGGAGCAACCACCTGATTTCTGCTCCAGCTGCGCGGCTGCGCCTGACGCTGACGAGCCGCTGGCAGGTCTGAGGTTTATGTCGACCATGTCTTCACGTTTTGCTGACGAGAGCGCGTCCAGTCCTGGAAGGGATCCAGCGATCTTGCGGAACAGAGGCTGCAGGACTCAAGTTTTCACTTTTCAGATGTTTGATCAGCCATGGATATCAATAGAGAGCTTTTGCTTGTGAAAGTGAAGGGGGGAAACATTAATAAAGAGTCAGGACCTTGACGTTGAACCCAGCTTTTGCACTGGTCTCTATGAACATGGCACCATGCTCCTGTGCCTTGGCTTCTCCTTCGCCAGTGGACACTTTCCTGGTGACATCATATCCAGGGAACAAAAATCAGGATAGTTGGCCACTTTATTGAAAAACTATATCGCAAGAGTAATTCTTTAGATTTTGTACTGAGTAGAAGATGGGGCGTCGGGGATGGAACACGGAACTGATGTTATAATTATTAAATTATATAAAGAAAGGACATGACGCCCTGAACTAAAGTTTAGTCTTAGACCATCCAAACCGGCGGACAAAACGGTGGACTAATTTTAGCCCAGGTCAACTAGTTGTTATAGCCCTCTCAGTAATCCATATATCTAAATAATATAGGATTAAACTTTAGTCGTCTAATTTTAGTCACCTAAACTTTAGTCCGACTAACAACCAGTTCAAGTGGTCCAAACAGGCCTAATTCAGAGATACAAACCTCTTGTCAACAAGGTCAGTTTTATTTCCGACGAGGAAGATGAGCACATCTCCACCTCTTTGCGTGTTTACTTCCTCGATCCACTTTGATGTGTTCAAGAAAGATTGGCTGTCTGCAAACAAGGGACAAGAGCCTAGTATTGGACAAGGATAACATATACATATTTGAAGCGAAAAAGAAAGGTCAAAGGACAACGATAATATTATGTTTGTAGTGAAGCTTCCCCAAAATAAACCTCATTTGAAACAAACAATTCGACGTATTGGCTTCTCAAAATAGAAAAGCTGGAAATCATGGCATGCCTCACTGTATGGATTTTCTTTCTGGAGATTATTCAAAGCACTGATTTTTTGTAAACAGAAAAGCAGTGGCTATCAAATTTTATCAACAAAAAAGGCGACATTTTTTTTTAAAAAAAAGAGAAAGATTTTCAGAAATTCGCTTTGAACAATTTCAGATTTGGCCTGTTACAGCTCTACGAGAAATCAAGGGCAAAAGCTTCCGCGTATCCTGTCTAGCGTAGAAAGCAAAGATATACTGTACGCGGTATACGCTAGCGGGAAGTGTTTTTGGAGACGGTCAACTTACCGGTGACATCGTAAACGATGACGGCCACGGAGGAGTCTCTGATGTAGCACGGGATCAGGCTGCGGAACCTCTCCTTCCCAGCTGTGTCCCTACACATTTTAACAATTCACGCTCATAAAATTCTCTCTGTCAAAACCGGATTTCAAACAATCGATTCGCGCAATTGCTTTCAACGTATTCGAGGAAAGGAAAAACTGGACTTCTTGATCTTTATCTTCTCTGCATCCATTACTCGTTACTAGTACGCACTAATAAGGAACTCCATGGGAAAGTCAGAGCATCGGCAAATCCGCGTGTTCAGTTCAGAGCTGAGGAGGATTCATCAGAGCATACCAGAGCTGAAGGCGAACAGTGCGGTCTTCGAGGTACATCGTCTTGGACAGGAAGTCGATCCCGATCGTCGCCTGCATCACGCACGGGGGGAGCAGATAGCAGCAGCACGGATCATCATCATCAGATCAGATTTCGCCGGCAGGTTTCAGTAACGACGATCCTGCCTGAAAACACACGACGAGACGAGGGAGAAGAGGGAGCCGAAGATCGGCGGGCGGGCGGACCGACCTGGTAGGTGTCGTCGAACTTGTCGTACATGAAGCGGGTGATGATGGCCGTCTTGCCCACCGCCTGGTCGCCCAGGAACACGAGCTTGTACTTGGCCAGCGCCGACACCACCGCCATCGCCGCACACCGCGCCGGAGGGTAGCCGAGCTTTGCTGTGGGCTGTGGCTTGGCGTATGTCGCCGCGATCGAGGCTGGGCGTCTGGAGACTTTAGGATCGCAGAACCGCGGAGTCGGTGTTTGGGGTTTGGCCGCTTGCAACTGAGGAAAGGGAAGGAGGAAAAGGGAGGACGATTGCTACGGGGGAAGATGGGGTCGCTTTCGGCGTTTCAAATTAGGCCTTTCCTCGTCGTGGGGTGGAACAGGTGAAGAACCACTAGTCCAGGAGGAGCGTTCCTTGCACCAGCTGTCATGCAACGCGATCCTGACAAAATTGCATTCCCTTTTACACCACGTAGGAAAATGGAAACTTATTTTTTCTCCGATCAGAATAAAGAATATAATAATTGTAGAAAGCGTAACTTGCGTCGTGTAGGGTTGGTCAGCGCTAATCAACGGATAAGTAAAGTAAGGGCATGTTTGGATTAGTTTTAGATTCTTAAAACCAAGTTTTGTCTCTAGTTTCTAAATCTAGATTCTGAGCAAAAATTGGTGGGGTGTTTGGCCTTCAGTTTTTAAGAATTTTGCTTCATTTATTGCTCACATGAGGTCATAAGAAACCGGCAAAAGCTATGCATCAATAGCTTCTTCGTTTCTAAGAATCGCCAAAACCGACATAAGAAACTAGACAAAACTCAGCCTATTTAGATTCCACCTGTTTTCAAAAACTAGAATCTTAAAAAATGGTGGGATCGAAACAGGGCCTCACACACGCCTTGTGCTACCGACCGGCCAGGGTCGCCGTCCCTAAAACGTCCAGTACAAAACGGAAGCTTTAATTTTTAGCCCGAGACCCGCGAACCGGTTCCCCTGGTCCTGTTGCGGCGTCCGCGAACGCGCTCGTGCCTCGGGCGTGACCTGGTCTGGTAGGACGTACGAGCATAAGCGCGCGAAGCAATCACGTGACGCGAGGGGGAGTCCAAGCTCCAAAGTCCATAGCAAACACGCCGATTTGACTTTTTAAGAGGAGCAGATGGGCCTTGGCTGCAACCAGCCCTCGACTTGTTGTTGGGCTAGTCCGACTTCTTTTTAGTGTGCGTTGGGCCAGGTTGTAGCGGAACAGAGTGCACTGTCCAAATGTGCCACATCAGAAGAAATGGCGTTGTTTTGCTTGGCCACCAAACCCTAACCTTGTTACTGTGCAACGGGGGTAGGGAGTTTTGCGCATGCAGGTCATGCACGGAACGGATGCACCTGACCGGAGCGCCCGCGGTTCACAGCAACAGTTAAATAAACAGTGTGGTAACAGCTTCACAATTCACCTATTCACACGCCCGAATTGAACTGAACGCAGATGAATGAGGACTCCAACTGGCCTGCTAAAGCAGACGTCATGTACGCATATATGGCGACCGTTTTAGGCTGACAGTGAAACAACTGTGCGTCGTAACAGTGTGCGATAAGTGGCAACGTTCGTTAACCGAAAAAACGCAGTGGTAGCAATAGTAGAAAACGCCCAACGGTCCAGCAAGCAAAGCCAACACACGCGACGCTACCACGGAAGGTGACGCATGTCCAGTTTAGTTCCCGAAAATTTTGTAAAATTTTTTAAGCCGTCACATTGAATCTTTGGACGCATGCATGAAGCATTAAATATAAATAAAAAATAAAACTAATTACACAGTTTAGACGAAATTCACGAGACGAATCTTTTAAGCCTAATTAGACTATGATTGAACACTAATTATCAAATAACAATGAAAAGTGTTACAGTAACGTTTTGCAAAAAATTTCGCCATCTAAACAGGCGCAGTTCACAGCGCCGAGCACAGAAGCAGCTGGCCAGCAGCAGAGCCGTATCCGATTCCGTATGAACAGCGCGCTTCTCGCCTGTGCACGAACTGGCAGAGTGGCAGGTGGCAGGCGGCAGGCGGCAGGTGTGTAATGAGGGCTCGCCGGGGTCGATCAGATCGGTACGGGGGGCGTGTAGTAATCGCCGCCTTAAAGGCCGCACCCAACTCAGGTCTCAGCCGCGGCCTGCCTTCCCGCTGGCCGCTGTGCACCAATGGCGACTACTAACTCCCCCTATTAATTGCCCGGAGTAGAGTACCGGCGCGGCAGACTACGCACTCGTCATGTACGTATTATATACTCCTGTATTGTATATCCATCGGCCGGAAAGACGACGACGACGTGAGTGAGTGAGACACAGCAATTCTGGCAAGGTACGTAGCGCGTACTCTCCATCGCGTTTAATAATACAGGAGGAGTAACATTCAGATTCATGCCCATTCATTCACTCATTCATCGCATCGGCGTCGGCAGGTCATTCCATCAGCGACCTTGACCGCGACCGCCGTACTGCGTCTTCGGCCTCGGCCACGCTTGCCTTCGGATTCCAATCCATCACGTGATGATCACTGCAGTGCCCAGGTCGGTAGCCGTGTGCTCGTAGTGCACGCCTGCAAGGACGCTCGATCGCGGCGCGAGTTGCAGGCTGC